AGTTGGGATGTATGGTCATCCTGGGAAAAGGGAAAAGGAATTAGATATTACTGAATTCAGATTGGATCACTAGTTATGAGATCTAGAACAAATTACATATATAACCTTTTGGCACTAATTTCCTTATCTATAAAAGGGGAAAAGTAACACAATATCAACCTCATGATGTAGTGTAAGAAGTAAATGAAATAGGATATATGAAAAGCTTAACAGAGTGACTAGTCCATCAGAAATATTCAATATATGGTAGCTATAAAAATAATCTTATGTAATAAACTAAGTGAATGCAATAAATACATCAATCTAGACATTATATAACCCAAACACTCCTGCACAACAGAATGTATTTTGTCAGGTTACTAAGAATTTGTTGTCCTGATATACTTTTTTCTAGCATCTTTCATTCAGGTATGTATTCCTTCAGAGTTATATCATATTTCTGAATCAGAATTGAATAGCCACTTAAGAAATACCAGAGTTAGCCACAGGGTGTGAATTCAGTATTTATCTCTCTGGCATTGATAGTGTTTGCTTTTGGTTTTATAGGTACAAGAGCATTTTTATATTCTTAGAAAAAGCTGGCTAATATGAAGAACTCTTTAGTCCAAAAAATCATCAGCAAGTTTTCCATTCCCACTATTAATAACACTTCTGTTAGGCCTCTTCAAAAGGAAACCTGATATTTGTTTGCTTTTCTTTTTATTATGGAAAATTTCAAAACTAAGCAAAAGTAGACAGCGCAGTATAATGACCCTCACGTATTTATCAACTCATAGCCAGTCTCTTTTCATCTGTATTCCTACTCTCCCTTCTACATTATTCTGCAGCAAATTCCAGGCATGTTATTTCATCTGTAAATAATTAAATTAATATTTCTAAAAAATAAAGGCTCTTTAACCACATCATCAGCACAATTAATAATCGGTACATAGAATTGTCAGATATCTGGTGTTCAAAATTTTCAGTTGCCTATAAATGACATAAACATTTGTTATTGTTCTTTTTTCAGATTGCTCTTTTGAACCAGAATGCAAATAAGTGCACACTTTATAATTGGCTGATATGCCTCTTAAGTTTCTTTCAACCTCTAGATTTCTCCTTCAGCTCTATTTTTGCTTTGCAATTCATTTGTTGAAGAAATTGGGTCCTGCATAGTTTCCCCACAGTTTGAATTTTGCTGATTGCATCCATGTGGTGTCATTTCACATGTTCTTTACCATATTCTTCCGTTCACTGAATTTCCTGTAATTTGGTAAATTCCATCTAGACGCTTGACCAAATTTAGGTTCTACTCTGCTGACAAGATATCTTCACAGGTAATATACTAATATTCTTCCATTGTATGCTTGTCTCTCTTGTTATACTAGCAGCCAATGAGGTTCAATACCCAGATTCACTAATCTATTAGGAGTTGCAAAAATCTTGATATTATAATAATAATCCAACCATTTCTATTCCAATTTTAAAAATATATTTTATTGATTTTTTTATAGAAAGGAAGAGAGAGGGATAGAGAACTAGAAACATCAATGAGAGAGAAAAACATCGACCAGCTGCCTCTTGCACACCCCCTACCGGGGATGTTCCCGCAACCAAGATACATGCCCTTGACCAGATTGAACCTGGAACCTTTCAGTCCACAGACCGACACTATCTGTTGAACCAAACCGGTTTCAGCTCTATTCCAATTTTTTTATTTTTTTATTTTTTATTTTTTTAAAATATATTTTTATTGATTTTTTACAGAGAGGAAAGGAGAGAGATAGAGAGCTAGAAACATCGATGAGAGAGAAACATTGACCAGCTGCCTCTTGCACACCCCCTACCGGGGATGTGCCCGCAACCAAGGTACATGCCCCTGACTGGAATGGAACCCGGGACCTTTCAGTCCGCGGACCGACGCTCTACCACTGAGCCAAACCGGTTTCGGCGCTATTCCAATTTTTTAAATAAAATAATCTTAAGAAGAAATTTTCCCTCATCTACAATTTAGAAACCTGGCTTTTACTGGTGTTACTTTATCTATGGAGGGAAACATTAACACATTAGAAGTGGTTAATTTATCTGATAAAAAGGTATGAATTATTTTCCTTAAGGTTCTAGAAACCCTCACATTGAGGAAAAAGAAGACTACAAGTACACTGAGAGAGAGATGGTAAATGGTGATTAGAAACTTGAGATATCTGGGGAGAGAAGTAAAGCAAGAAGAAACACAGGTGCATAAAGGTAACATTTTGCTAAGTCTATTCTTATTTGGCATAAAGATTTTGATTTGGAAGCCCAAATTATGGCTTCAAATACTTTTACTTACTGAGGACTTCTGCATTCATACTCTAGTTCACACCTCTTCTCAGGCTTTGAGTAGTATCAAAACTTTACCTGACATCACTACTTTGATGTCTAAAAAAAAGTCTTGCCTTAGCTGGTTTGGCTCAGTGGATAGAGCGTCGGCATGTGGCCTGAAAAGTCCCAGGTTTGATTCTGGTCAAGGGCATATAAACAAAATAAGATTTTGATTTGGAGAATAATTTCTTGAAATTGAAATTTTAGGGAGTGGTATGAAATACATAATGGGGCAAAAGCAGGTTTACAGTTGTATGTGAAAAGAGTCTATTCTTATAAATCTACATTTGCTACACCCTCTATGAATTGGTAAAGAAATTGGAATTATAAATGTGTATTTAAAAATATACTCTCGTTTTGATTATAGATTTTTCAATGTTTTTTCAGTGCTAAATAATTTTAAGTGAACAACTATTATTTGATTTGAATAACTAATCTCTGGAATTATATTCCGTATTATTAACATGACAGCTCTCTCATTTTTAGGTCCAATATATTTAAGTTATATCAGCTATTAATTTTAGGCAACTCTCCCAATTGAAGAACTCATCAGCTCTCTTTGCAGCTTCCTCTACCAGTCATTGCCCTGATAGTGTCATATAATTCATCCAAATTGTGTTAAACCAAAAGCAAGGCTACATAAGCCACCTTACCAAATCAGAGAGCAGATAGGAACTGTCTGCCAACAATCTGAAGGATGCCCCTAGCATGACAGACTTTTAGAACTCGACAATATCTTAAAGATCATGTAATAATTCAAGGCCCTCATTTTAAAAGGGGTGACACTGCTATTCTAATAGGTTAACTGGCTTATCTTTCCCAAACATAATTTCCTAATATGGTATCTCATTTTCAGTAGTCTTAAATAAGTTATAGCATATCAAGATCTGGAAATACATTTATATTATATTACGATGAATCCTCCTCTTGCCATCTTTCCTGCATCTTTTGAGCCTTTAGGTCTTCTCAAATTATTCTAGGGACCTCTGCTGTTCCTGTGCTAGTGTCAAGATTTCAATTATTATTCTATTTTAAAACATAGTTTGACTTAGCAAAATACCAAGCTAATAGTGAATACACTCCATTGTACATATTTCATATTGGCACCTCTTTCAAGCCTATTAGCCTATGGGTTAATACTGCACATAAGTTTTGTTCAGATTCTTTGAAAATTTACTTGTGGATTTGATGGGTGTTGCATAGAGAAGATGACCATCTCTTATGTAAACAAGTACCCATTGATAATGATGTCGCAGGTTGGTCATCAGTGGCAATGATGATTAAGCATTTATGGGGCCCACGTCTATTATAACCACTGGCATCTTGATGCACAAACCATTGTAGAATCTAGAAAGGATTCACTTCCTCTTCTAGAGGGACCTGCATTTTACATAAAGGGGTCTAAGGCAAGTCTTTATAAACTATCAAGAATGCTCCCCATAGTTGGAATATGTCACCACAGCAGTTTTCCCACTTACCCAGCTGCTGCTGAAAGCCTAGCTTGCCCATTCAGACAGTGATGGATCCTGACCAAGGTTTTAAAATATGCCCATAAAACACCAGGGACCTTGAAAACCCAGTCAGATCCTTCTCTCTCTTTCTCTCTCTCTCAAATTAAATTATTATCTGTGTACATATCTTACCATTGCCCTCCCACCTCCCATATATGCCCTTCCTCCCCAGAGTTTTGTGTCCATTGGTTGTACTTATATGCATGCATACAAGTCCTTCGGTTGATCTATCTCCCCCAGATCTCCCTACCCTCCCCGCTGTAATTTGACAGTCTGCTTGTTGCTTTACTGTCTCTATATCTATCTTTTGGTTCATCAGTTTATAATGTTCTTTATTATCCATAAATGAATGCGGTCATGTGGTGTTTCTCTTTCATTGACTGGCTAATTTCACTCAGCATGACGACCTCCAATTCCATCCAGGTTTCTGCATATGCTTCCCTCTCTTCTGGCAGAACCACTCTCAAATCATTCTCCCCAGATGAAATTCCCTCCAGTTTTTGTGTAGTGGTAGGTAAACTCCACAACCTTTCATCATCGTTGGCTGCTGGCATTGCCAGTGGGCAAAACTCTGATGGCATGAGCATCCCTCAGAGCAGGGCCCTGACACCCCGGGGTTGAAGCCCACTTCCTTCCGGAAGAGGAAAGGCTCCGAAGCACCTGGAAACCCCTCCGCCACCACCCACCACGCCGGCGGCCAGGCCTCCATCTGCAGGGGCCCCTTAGGCATCCTCGCGGGGGGCACAGGCGACCGGCACCGCAGCGCCCGGAGCCACAGTCCCGGGGCCCGAGTGGGCGCGCGCCGCTCTCGCGAGAGTTCGCGGGGTGGGGGCCGCTGGGGGCCGGCGAGGCGGCGGCGGCGGCGAGGGGCGGCACTGCGGCGGCCCGGCGGCAGGCAGGGCCGGGCGAGCGCCCTTTCCCCGCCTCCCTTCCTTCCCCTCCCACGGAGCGGCTCCGGCCGAGCGCTTCCCACTTCCGGCCGCTCTGCGAGCCACTGGAACGCGAGGAGCCGAGCGAGTTGCGCCGCGGAGCCGCCGGCGCTGCCCCGCACCGACTCTCGTCGCCTTTGCTCCTCCTCCCGGGCCGCCGCCAACGCCGCGCCCGACGCCCTGCGACCAGCGACCCGCAGCCCGCGCCGCGGCCGACATGAGCTTCTTGTTGTGAGTAGCCAGGCCCCCCGCGCGCCGGCTTTGTTCAGGCGACCTGGGCCGCCGCCCCCGCCCGCCGGGTCCCGCCGCCTGGCCCCGCGCTCCCGGTGCCGGGCACCTGCCGCCGCCGCCTCCCCTGAGCACGCGGTGGGGGTGGGGGGGACCCCCAAGTCCCGACACCCCCGGGGCCTGCGTCCGCGTTTCCCCATCGGCCCAGCCTCGCCCTCGCGGGGGTTTGTTTATCTGCTCGCCCTGAAGAAACGCCTCCCACTCCGCATGACCCATTTCCGACGCGTGCCGCCGCCTGTCCCAGCCTCCCGCCCATCGCCTTTCCTCTGGGTCCCAAGCACAGAAGATGGGGCGTCGTTCTTCTCCCCCGCCCCGGGCAACCCCAGGGCCCTTTACCAGTCAGCTTCCCTCTTAGGTTTTTAGGAAGTTGGGGTGACCAGGCCTGTGGATGTTAACATCCTTAAACGAAGGCTGCGTTCGGGTCCGGACGCCCTGGTGACAGCCTGATGGAGCCCTTGGGGTCTGGAGCAGCTTCTAGCTACAAAGTCACATGCTTTCCTGAAGGATACGGGCTTTATCTTTTCCGACCACCACCCGCCGCCGCGGCTTGGGCAGTGTGCCCTAGGTTGATGAGGTCCCCTGGGGACTTGTTTTGCAAATCATCTGTTCCATGACAGCTTAGTTTAAGGACTGGCTGTCTTTTCCCTTTTCTTTCTTACTACGAGGCATGTTGGGCGCGGGGTGTGGGGAGAAAGATGGGATGGCCGGATAGGGGTATTGGGAGGCAGCAGACAAGCCTCACGTCCTGGGAAAACAGGACCTTGCACCCCGCAGAGGGCTTCCATGTGATTCATCCACGTTTAATCTGTGGTGAGAAAGCTAATAAAAAGCCCGGAGGTGGAAACCCGCACTCTGCTGTCGGAGGGAAGATATCATTGATAATTTTCTGTTCCGGTGCTCTTTCCCCACCTTTACATGGGTTTTAGTCATCACCTTGGCACTTGAATCCTGAGAACTTAAACCTTATTTCCACATGCTCGTATCTAGAGTATTAATTCTTTGTAGGGTGTTTAAGCAAAATTGAGAGATCACAGAAGACAGACATTCTCACATGCATAAGGGGCCTGGGCTTTTGCCATCCCGCCTAACACATTTGAGATTGTGAAGCCTTTTTTTTTTTTGGTCTCATCCTAGAGGTTGAGTTTTTCAGATAAATGGTGATAGATAAGAGGACTGGGTGACTTCGGTCTTTGTTTTCTATTTTAATTTGAGTCAACATGTCCAGGCATCTCAGCTTGAAACTTCTCATCCTGAGTCTGTTTGCATTGCTGATGTTTTTTTTTCTTCAAGAACTTAAGAGCTATCTTCAAAATAGTAATAGAGGTGATGTCCATGACTGCTGCTGATGGGCATGTGTCTCTTGGAACTCACAGCTCAATTGGTTGAAGCAGGGAAGAACTATATTTGGCAGAAATTTGGGGATGGACAAGGTTTTGATGGTATTTTCTGAATACAAATGTAATATATTTTTACATGGCTCAGTATTTATTAGCAACAGAAATTCAGTGAGTAAGTTCATTTCTCCTGAAACATATTAGCTGTGTACAAAAATCTTGCCATTGTATATATATTCATTCTCTCTCTCTCTCTCTCTCTCTCTCTCTCTCTCTCTCTCTCTCACACACACACACACACACACACACACACACACACTAGAGGGTTTGTACTGTTTGAGGCACACTTTTTCAGTCAGGTCGCATATTATAGTTAATACTAGTAGATTCTCAACATCTTTAGCCTGTTGAAATCCAAAAGAGTAATCCAACATTTTTGATTTTGTTTTTTTATCCACCATGACGTTTAAAATCTGAAGTGAAGACCTCGTAGATAAAAATTATTAGAGTGTAAAGAACAAAGTTTTGGTTATTTTATCTGTTTGTTTTTTTTTGGTATGGTTTTCTGAAAATTATTTCTATACCATCAGGTGAGCAAAGAAAATAAGAGTTGCAATTTAGGAGTTAAATAGCAAATATTTTCTTCCTGTTCTTGGAAGCTTCCTCGTAAGGGGACTATAAATGGATGGAGCTCAGGAAATAAGGGCAATTCGAGATAGTGTTAGAAAGGCAATGACTCATAACTCACGAGGACTTTTAGATAGAAGGAAAGACAGTTAAAAAAACAGAAACAAAACATCATTTAGCCTGGCTGTTTTGGCTCAGTGGTTGAACGGCAACCTATGAACTAGGAGGTCATGGTTCCCAGGTTGCAGGCTCCATCCCCAGTAGGGATTCTCTCTTATCATTGATGTTTTTATCTCCCTCTCTTTTCCTCTCTGAAATTAATAAAAAATATATTTAAAGAAACATTAATTGTGTCAGGCTGATACAGGCATTGGGTATCATTTGTGGACAAATTGGATAAAAATTCCTGCATTGGTGGAGCTTACTTTAAGCAACCATATAGTATGGTAAGAGGTCTTAAAATACATGGAACAAAGTAGAACAGAGTGAAGAGGTTTTTTTGATAGGAAGGTGAGGTAATCCTCAGAGAGTGTTCAGATAATCTGCATCAGGGACGCCTTTGTGTAGCTTTTGTACAAATTTGCAAATAAATTTGCACTGCATATGTAGATCTGACTGGGACCAAGCTGTGGCTGTGCTGCAAATTGGCCTCCATGCAGCTTCAGGTTGAGCTAAACTCCCAGATGGTGCCTAGGGAACCTTTACAGGGACCTACTTTAACTCAAATTTTTAAACACAGGACCTGCTGTGTGCTCTAGGCATTGTGCAAGAAGTGATACTTCAGAGCTGGTAGACAGTTTATAAATAGTCCTCTATAATAGATGTAATGCAGTCAGTGGGGGTCCAAAGAATACGGAGCAATTTGATTTGGGCTCAGGGAATGTTTCATGAAAAAAGGGATGGATATTTAATGGATGATATAACAAGAGTTCTCTAAAAGGGAAGGAGACATGGGAAAAGGGAGATTTCAGTCAGAGGAAACATGGAGGCCTGAAATTGCCTGTGAATTTTCAAATTTCAAGTTTGTCCAAGAGGCTGTTGAATTTTGAAGCTAGATGGGTTCTTTCAGTAACATAATTTACCTTTTTTTCACCAACTTCAGGTTACTGTCCATGATAGAACACAGTCTCTTGACTTATGAGTTTTTCCTCTGACATTTTAAGCATATAAAATTCAGGGAAACTTAGGATCAGAGTGAGTTCTTTAAAAAAATTTTTGATTTTTTACAGAGAGGAAGGGAGAGGGATAGAGAGTCAGAAGCATCTATCAGCTGCCTTCTGCACACCCCTTACTGGGGATGTCCCCGCAACTAAGGTACATGCCCTTGACTGGAATCGAACCTGGGACCCTTCAGTCCGCAGGCCTACACTCTCTGTCCACTGAGCCGTTAAACTGGTTTCGGCCAGAGTGAGTTCTTAACAGTTACTCAAAAAGGGTGTTGAGTGTTCTCTGTGTTTCTAGCATTTTTAAATTGCACCTATCTTCTGACTGATGGAATTCCACAGAAACATTTGACTTGGAACAGAGTTAAAAAACTAACACAGCTAACTTTTAAAATGCAAGTCTGTAGGAAAGATGGTTTAGGAATGAGAATGAATATAAACCAGGTTTAGTTCTGTATAGGAAGAAACAAAGAGATAGGCTGAGAAAGGAAGTATTTGTTGAACATTATGCTGCAGTGCTTCCATTTGTCTTTTCAACAGAATAGCAGTTTAGTAAAAGAGATCCAGGATTTCATTGAGTTTGTATGTGTCTGTCTCTTGCTTTTCTGTCTACTTGTTTCTCCTCCTACTCTCCTTCCCCCAGCATCTTTGTTTTCTGGCAAATGATTTTAGTGCTTCAGTATCTTCACCTATGAAAAAAAAGATAATAAAATAGCCAGCTAAGTACTATATGTCAGGCATAGCAGATGAAGAAACTGGCAAAAAGAAGTTAAGTAATTTTCACAAAACTATGTAGTCAGTCAGTGGTATAACTGGGATTTGAATCCTGGCAAACTAGATCTGGAGATCTTGCAACATACTGCCTTATCTGTAATTGATAAAATTATATAAAAAAGTGGTATTCACATCTTGTTTTTTAAGAGAAATCTTATGTTACTAGGTATTAATATCTCAAATTGCTGGGATCATTTTGTAAGGGCCACCAAGAATATAATGGTAGAAGAGAAAATAGAAACCTTTAAATTTAAATAATACTTTTGAATTATTTTTTTACTTCCATTTTTAATGTAAAAATGATAAACATGGTGGAGAAATTATGCAATATTGCTAAGAAAATGAGGCAAATAGTCACTCATAATCACACCTTCAGGGATAACTGTTATTTGTGTTTTATGTCAATAGTAATTCTGCAAAATTTTGAATGACTGTCAACTAAGTTATTACCTTAATGGTTTGTTATCTGACAGCCTCATTTAATATGTAATGCTCTTTTGGTGGGAGAAGTGCAAGTAAGTATGGACATCTTTTCAGAACTAAAGTTTGGGGAATTGCAGACAGTTGGCTGGTCTTAGTTTACTCCTCCCATCTGATACAGGATTGCTTTTGTTTTACATTATTGAGTGCAAAACAGTTGCTTATGTGATTAATCTTTGTTGCCTTTTTTTTCTTGATTTAGTTGCAGAGTTTTTGTACCTTTGGAGTTTCTGATACATGAAAGAACATGTAGACCTTCTCTTCAATTATATATTAGAATTGAAGCAGAATAGTTATGAATTATTACATGAAAAGTGGTATCTGTTAAGAATGTTAAATTCTATAGAAAACTTTTTATTTAACCCTCCTTCCCGCATTTCCATATTTTTTCTGATATTTCTGTGTTTAGAACCATACCTCAGATGTTTGGAGGATTAGAGATACTGAATGTAAAAGACCTCAGTAAATTGTAATTATGTTTGCAGCAATGATTCTTAATTCATTACCAAAACCTCAATAGTGCGATGATTGCTAGTAGCTGTTACTATATTTCATAAACATTCAT